TTATACCAAGAAAGTATTTTTTCTTGCTATAATTTCAGTAAATGGATTAAGGCATTTTTGTTTCATGTATCCTATCTTTCAACAAAGACTCAAGCTTTTATTGTAGATAGTATTGAGACTGCATGTAAGGAAGTGTCTTACTTTTCTTCACAAAGCCTAAAAATTGTTTTAGATAAGTTATTTTACCCTGTTTTTAAATTTGTTTTAATGTATTAATCAATGTATATGAGTCAGTTTCACTGGGTATTTTTCCCGGAATTCCTCTATGTAGTTCAGGCTGGTCTCACAATGGGGTAATCCTACTACATTTCAAGAGGTGGGATTACATGTGTGTATCCAGTAAAACATCATTTGTCTTCCAGTTATTTTTATTCATAATATATTTCTAAATTAATGATTGTGTATTGCAGCTAAAGTGAAATCTTCTAACAAATGTAGCTCTTGCTTACAGGTAGACAGTCATCAGTCTGGACATTTGTAGATGAATTTTTAAATGGTCTTATTAAATAAAAAGCATGGAGCCAAATATAGGTGTGAAAGCCTTAAGGAGATTAGGGAAATAGGAAAAGCCACCAGTCAACATTACCTCACCAACTCTGCAGCTTCCAAATGTGAGTTATTTCTTCTCTTACCCATGCCTATATTATCTTGCTGTTCTGCCCTCTCATTGGCTATCTTAGCCCAGCTACTTCACTTCCTTGTGCCTCACATTCTTGCCATTATCTGTCTGTCTGTACAGACCTCCATGACTTATGGTTTGTACTGGGATTAAAGGCATGTATCACCACATGTGGCTCTGTTCCTTAGAATGGCTTTGAACACCCAAAAACCCTGCCTGCTAAGTGATCAGATTAAGGGCATGTGCTACCACTGCCTGACTTTTGTGTTTACTATAGTGGCTGGATTTCCTGTGATCTCCAGGAAAGCTTTATTAAAGCACAAATTAAATATCACAACATTATTTCAACACAAATTAAAGATCACCACAGATGTTCCCTGTTCTTTATTTGGAAGTTAGGATTTTTGAGTTCAGATTACTTAAACTCAGAATACATTTTCAGCCCAATGGAGGAATGGAGACATTATATATGTTAACAGGAAGCTATTATTTCTCTTCTATAACAGTAACAATGTACCAGGAAGATCCAGATAAATACAAATTAAAGAATAAATTTCTTTGCAGTGCTGGAGTATGTTCTTCTAGGCCACTGAGAACAGGCTGTGCTCCTTGTAGGGACACCCAGTACCCTGCTTTGTCACAGCACTAGACCTGCTTAGCTAGCTTGGCTTCTATGAGCAGTTTGGGATTTGCTGTGAATGTAGGGGCCACAGATAAAAAGGAGGTGAGCAGGAGATGAAGGATAGCCAGATTTCTTGAATGGCCTAGTCTCTAATCAAGCTAGGTAAAACTACATATGCAATCTTGTTGTTTGTTTTTATTCTATTGCTTCTTTGTGTTTATAGCTTAAACCATTGTGTAACCACTTCCACCCCATCTTTTTCCTAGGAAATTTCTTACTAGAAGATAATAGCTTTTATTGCTTTCCTATGGTTGTACTTTGCCTACACATATGTTTATGTACTGCTATACTTTCTGGTACCTATAGAGGTCAGAAATGCGTGTCAGATTCGCTGCAACTGAAATTAAAGATGGTTGTGAGTTTCTATATGGATGCTAGAAACTAAGCCCAGGTCTCCAAGAAAAGTAATGAGTGCTCTTAATTGCTGAGCCTTTGCTCAGTTCCCTTACCTATTACCCCTATCATAAATCTGATTTATCTTTTCTGAATTTGATATTATTGCTATTGTTTGGTTAGTTTAGCTTTTTTTGTTTTTTGTTTTTGTTTTTTTTCAAGACAGAGTTTCTTTGTATAGCTTTGGAGCCTTCCTGGTACTCGCTCTGTAGACCAGGCTGGACTCAAACTCATAGAGATCTGCCTTCCTCTGCCTCCCAATTGCTGGGATTAAAGGCAAGTGCCACCACTATGGTAATACTTTATTTGTGCTGAAATGTGATTTTATTTGTATGCTAACAAATAAAGTTGCCTGGGGGTCAGAGCTAATAGCAAGGCATGTAACAGAAGTCTGACAGTGGTAGCACATGCCCTTAATCTGATCACATGTCAGGCAGATCTCTGTGTGTTCAAGGATACAGCCAGCTTGGAGGTGCATGCCTTTAATCCAAGTATCAACCATAGAGACCTGGAAGTCTGTATAGACAGGCAGTGATGAGGAGGTCAAGTGGTTGAGTTTAGAACCAATGAGAAGGCAGAGCAGAAAGTCAATAAAAATACAGACACACAGGAAGTCGGTCTCTTTTCTCAGGGCAAGGATGGCAGCAGCTGGTAAGCTAAAGGCTATTCACTAGTGCTCTGACCTTTTGGGCTTTTAACTCTTTATTTGGCTCTGTGTTTCTTATTTAATAAGACTGTTTAGAATTGCATCTACACACCAACGCCTGGCTTAGTTTAGTTTTTTAAGACAGGATCTGCTATATCCCAGAATGACCTTGACCTCATTTGAATCCTTGAACCTCTGATCCTTCTATGTCTCATGAAGTACTGGGATTATAAGTGTGTCAGTTTTCACTAGCCAATAAGGGCCTCCAGTCTGACCTGCCAGTCAGAATTGGTGGAGGGCTCTTGCTGCGGCCAGGATGCAGGCTTGACTTTGTAGCAGAATGGGCTTCAGTGCTTTTGTGTGCCATTCTGTGAGTGCTGCTGCAAGGAGCTGAGAGGGGAGCATGAGCAATCTTGAATGACATGGTTACCAAGGGGCTGTTGTCTCCAGATGGGAAAAGTGGATGATGACCCTCTGGAGCTGGTGTGGCTCTGCTCTCTAGGGTTTAGTGGGAGTGAGCAGACAGATTTGGTGTCTTGTGAGGTCCCATGTGTTTCTTGTAACTCCCTGGACCCAGGTGCCTCTCTCTGAATAACTTTACTCCATGAACTTCCTCTGTGCACAGCATTGGGAGCAGGGAGCTATGTGAGGAAACATTTTTGTAGTCCAAATCAACAGGCTTTTGGTACATCCAGGGAAGCAGGTTGCCAAATTCATAGAGGCCTAGTTTTTCTAGTATCTTCTAGACATTCTGCACCTCACATTTACCATTCAGGTGAAAGATTCATTTGTATTTAATTTTGTGCAAGTTATAAATGATATTTCTTATTTTGGGTAGCACTCCACTTCCTGTTATGTAGAAGAAAGGAATTGTTGGTTTAAGGGGTTTTCTCAATGCTCAGGAGATGGTAAGTCACAGAAAAAAATTAGCTAAAGGATGACTACCTCTAAAATACCTCAAAGACAAGTATATACCTGTTACAGCTTAGGATGCTAGCATACACATTTCTTCACCAAGATTGTCCAGATATATGGCTCCAAAGAAAGGAGACACTCCTAATTTACAACCAGACACTAGACCCATCCCCATATCAAAGAACAGGACTCTAACCAGCTGCTCAAGGAGGCATTACAGGATCACAACCAACATTCAGGCCTGGTGTGCCATAAAGGTTCAGTTTTCTTCTTATGAAAAGCATAGTATTGAAAGACAGGCAATGAGACACAAGGTGACCTGCCAGTCAGAAGTGGTGCAGGTCCTTCCAGTCACCAGCTTCAGGCTTGGCTTTGAAGAGGAGCTGGTGCCAGTAGATTTGTGTGGTGTGCTGTCTGTGCTGCCTCGCCTCTCCTGTCTCTTCCTGTCTATCTTCCTTGTTTCAATAGAGATTATTGGCTATTGCTTTCCTGTCCAGTCTGACTCTAGTGACACATCTAAGTGGATTGGTGTGAGAATGAAGAAAAGGCAGGCAGATATAACAATGGGACCCAAAGAAAAGCTGGGAATAGATGCTCTCTGTTCTCTGGGATGAAACCACAACACCTGAGAAGCTTTGCCATCAGTAATACCTACGTTTGAATAGAGTTAAAGATTTACTGCATGGTGATAAAAGAAAGGCAGGGTTACTATCTAGACCTATGCACATACTCATGCTTGGCACATCTCAGTACTTTCAGTCACTTTAGCCTTGAATTGTTAAGGCCTGAACTTCTGAAAAGAGAAAATTATGCTGGAGAGATTTTGCCCAAACTATTAAAATTTTCATGAGATCAAAGGAGGATTTTTCATGTTCCAAGCCTCAAGCGATGAAGGGAAGTTTGTTTGCCTTTTTGTGTGTGCCTGTGTCTATGGTCCTTGATCTAGCTCTGCCCATGTAAACAGCTCTAGTTCACTTACAGACCTAATCAGACCTTATGTTGTTCACCATATATGCTTCCAATGATTGAATCTTTTATAATTTTCCTAAAACAATCTACTTTGTCTTTTTATGATATGCTTTTTGGACATTTTCTGTAATGCAGTAACTGGCATTAATTACACAATATCAGTATAAAATGAATTTCCAACATTCCAAAGCAGCAGAAATTGAACACAATTTTTATTATATTTATTGATAATTGAGAAAAATAAATGGCTGATTTGATGTTCAAACCATTGATATTATATTCCATAAAATCTCAAATATTAGCAACACAAAATATTTATATAAAAGCCATAGCAGTCTCAGATCAATATCCTGTACCATAAAATATACAGAAAATTGTGCGGAGACTTTGACTTGATATAGTTATCCATAAAATTATCCTGGCATAAGTCTTCACATTTCAAATTATTATTTCTTTCATATCTTGTCAAATTAATCCTATGTCATTTTAATATATGACTACTGTGTAATTCTGATTGACACATTGCTGTCTATGTAGATTGTTTTCCAAGGGACTTTTGTGAACATAAATTTTATTTCTTGGTAAAATGTTTCTAAAATCACAGCAAGCATAAGGCTTCTTGATGTTACTCTTCTGACACTGAGTAAGGTTTTAACATTTGCTGAAGTTTTCCTTCCACTACCCATATTATAGAGAATCCTTTCATTGCATGAGTTCTGGAGTAATAATTACCAATTGAGTTTGTTTCTTTCATAAAGTTTCTTACATGTTCTAAGTTTTGAGCTCCTTGTAAAGTTTTTTTTTAATTCTGAACATGTGTTAAGTTTCTTCCCATTAGTGATACTCCGTTAGGCTTGAATATTTGAGGACTCTGTAACACTTGCCAAATTCTTGATATTGTATGGGTTCTCTCTAATATGGATTATGTGAGGATCTTCAAGATTTAAAAACCTAAATAAGGGTTACCCACATGCTTTGTATTTGTAAGCTTTCTCCAATGTATGGTTTTAGTGAGTTTATCCATAGGAAAAGAATATAACACATAGCACATTCATTACAATTTTACGGGTTCTGCCTTCAATGGGTCTTTAGTAGCCTTGAATATGTGAATCATGGTCAAAGGATTTGTCACTATAGGTATATTTTTAATTTTCTTCTCCATTTTGGATTCTTTGAAGGACTTGAAGTGTTGAGGCCCATTAAAGTACTTGCCACATTCTTTACATCTGTAATGTTTTCCTCCTGTGTGGAGTTTGGGATGTCTTTGTAGATGTGAGATCTGCCCAATGAACTTGTCACATTCTTTACATCTCTAAGGTTTTACTCCTGTATGTATTCTTTGATGAATATAAAAACTTGACCTATGAGTGAAGTACTTTCCACAATCTAAACATTTGTAAGGTTTTTCTCCCGTGTGTATTCTTTGATGAACATGAAGTGTTGACCTCTGAGAAAAGGACTTGCCACAATCTGAACAGTTATAAGGTTTCTCTCCAGTGTGTATTCTTTGATGAACATGAAGTGTTGACCTCCTAGTAAAGGAGTTGCCACAATCTGAACATTTATAAGGTTTCTCTCCAGTGTGTATTCTTTGATGAACATGTAGTGTTGACCTCCGAGTAAAGGACTTGCCACAATCTGAACATTTATAAGGTTTCTCTCCAGTGTGTATTCTTCGATGAACATGAAATATTGACCTCTGAGTAAAGGACTTGCCACAATCTGAACATTTATAAGATTTCTCTCCCGTGTGTGTTCTTTGATGAACATGAAGATTTGAATACTGAGTAAAGGACTTTCCACAATCTGAACATTTGTAAGGTTTTTCTCCCGTGTGTATTCTTTGATGAACATGAAGTGTTGACCACCAAGTAAAGGACTTGCCACAATCTGAACATTTATAAGGTTTCTCTCCAGTGTGTATTCTTTGATGAAAATGAAGTGTTGACCTCCTAGTAAAGGACTTGCCACAATCTGAACATTTATAGGGTTTCTCTCCAGTGTGTATTCTTTGATGAACATGAAGATTTGAATACTGAGTAAAGGACTTTCCACAATCTGAACATTTGTAAGGTTTTTCTCCAGTGTGTATTCTTTGATGAACTTTAAGTTTTGACCCTAGAATAAAAGACATTCCACATTCTTTACATTGGTAAGGTTTCTCTCGAGTGTGCATTCTTTGATGAATTTGAAGTGGTGAACTATGAGTAAAGGACTTGCCACAATCTGAACATTTGTATGGTTTTTCTCCAGTGTGTATTCTTTGATGAACTTTAAGTTTTGGGACTACAATAAAGGACTTTCCACATACAGTGCATTTATGAGGTTTTTCTCCAGTGTGTAATCTTTGATGAACTTTAAGTGTTGAGCTATGAGTAAAGGACTTTCCACATACCTTACATTTGTAAGGCTTCAATCCAGTATGTATTCTTTTATGATTTTGAACTGTTGAGCTCTGTGTAAATGACTTGTCACATATATGACATTTGTAAAGTTTCTCTCCAATGTGGCTCCTCTGATGAATTTTAAAATTCGAGGCCTTGTTAAATGACTTGCCACATTCCTTACATCTATAAGATTTCTCTCCAGTGTGGCTCCTCTGATGAATATGAAGTGTTGAACTCTGAGTAAAAGACTTGCCACATGCTTCACATATGAAAGGTTTTTCTCCTGAATCACTTCTCTGAGGAAGATGAAGAGAAAACCCATGGGCAAACGACTTGGCATACTCTGTACAATTAAAAGCATTCTCTTCAGTGTGGATTTTACAATGAGTTCTATATTTTGATTCATGGGAATGGAACCTGTCATGCTCTGGACATTTGTATGATTCTTTTGTCATGTGGATTTTATGATGCTCCTCAAGTACTGAAAATGTAGAAAACAACTTTCCACATTTTTTACATTTGTAAATTTTTTCTCTAGTATGAACCATGTTAATTCTAAAGAGGTCTGGGCATCTCCTGTAACTCCTCCCAAATTTCTTATGATTTTGTCCAACACTGAATCTTGAATTCTCCTCAAATTTTAAAGGGTGGGTGAAATATTGTCTATATGCTTTGAATATTGGTTGTTTCCCTTCAGTGTGGCTTGAGGCATTTTGAATAGTTGAATGGAAATTGCAGCTTCTGAATGGAAATGATGCAGAGTGAGCTTTGTTAGGACAAGGTGGAACTTCATCTATACTGTCAGGAATGTCAGTTATGGGTACTACAAAAAGATCATTTCCATCAGCACATGATTCGTGCTTTTCATTGTCAGATCTACATGTCGAGAACTCCCTTATGTGTAATTCACCGAGGCTATTACTTTCAAGCTGACCTGATATTTCTCTTTGGTAAGAATCCTGGGTACACTCTTTTGTGAATGACTCCTGAATGGGATAACAAAAGAGAGTTGGAAGAAATGAAAGGCAATAATTATCTAACTGTGTAGAATTAGACAATAATAATATAGAAACTTTTTTATAAAATGACACCAATATGAGGTTAGTAGCAAAAAGATTACACAAAAATCTTCAGTACTTCTTCCATAAGGAATTAATGTCCAAACATGATGAACATGGAGAAGGCCATTTCATGAACTTGTATTTTATAATATGTAAAATTTGAAAAGGTCTTCTTTAATCATGTCATGTAACCAACAATTGTGAATACAATTGTTAGAATACAAAATGAAACTATTAGCCATTATTAAAAATATTCTGTTTATTTGGAAATTGCATTATCAATTTAAATCAAAATATCCTTTCTAAGCAGATAAATGATAAAGTAATAGTAATAAAAATTTCATATATAGATTTTATGTATTAATTATTTAATACATGTTAATATGTTACTCAGGGACAGTAATTATTGAAAAGAAAAGAATAAAATGATCATGAAAAAAATATGCCTGTCAGATCCACAGAGCTTTATGTATATGAGGAGAGAAAGTTTCAAAATCCCCACAATTACATTGATAATTCTATAGGTCTTTCAAATTTTCAGATGCCTAAGAATATCTTAAACTGATAAAAGACTGGCCTTTCATCTCAGCATTTGGAAGGCAGAGGCAGAGGCAGAGGCAGGTGATTATCTATGGTTATGAGGCTGTCCTGATCTACCTATTCATTTCCTGGCCAACCAGGGCTACATGGTTACAGATCCTGTCTCAAAAAAGGAAAGGTAAGAAAAGTAAATTATATGTTCAAGCAATAATAAAAGCCAATAGAGTCAATTAGGCAAAGTTGCCCTGGGCAACATTAAGATGGATGGGTTTCTCCCTTGTAAAAGTACTTGTCAGCAAAGCAAACCTTGATCTTGGCCTCAGTATTTCCTGTCCTAGTGTAACTAACTGATAGAACCACCCCATATGGCCCTTCAATGTGAATCACAGTCTGACTTTTTCTTAAAGTGTTCTTCACTGACTTGAATGCCGACTTTGAATGGTGGCCAGAGTACATTACAATCTGTTTTTCCAAAGTCTTAGATCTCTAATATGTTTGGATTCAAAAACACAAAAAAGCAAGCTGGACAGTGGTGGCACATGCCCCTAGTCCCAGCACTCAGGAGACAGAAGCTTTAATCTCAGAACTCTGGAGGCCGAGGCATGCAAATCTCTTTGAATACAAGGCCAGCCTGGACTAAAGAGCAAATTTCAGGACACCCAGGACAGTTACACAGAGAAATATTGTCCCAAAAGAACATAAAAAACAGCAAAAACAAGTTGATAAATGACCAAATGAATAAAATTTAGAGTTTCAAAGTTGACTGAAATGTAAAATCCTATTTCAAAGTAAAATATCATAACTCAGAGTTTACATGTGAAATTAACAATTTTTAAATGTAAATTTAATTTAAATATATCATTTCATTTCAGACTTATCCCTGCTTCTTTCCTTTCAACTCTTTCCATATCCCCAAATAAATAATATAAACTCCATTTGATAATTGTTACTCATATGTATTTATGTGTATATTTTAAAAAAGCAAACATATAGTATAATATATATATATCAATTACCTATAATTACAAAATATTATTCCAGATTTATTCTTAATGATTATATCATTTCAGGTCTATCCATTTTGCATTAGACAAGCAATAATGAGGATAATCCATAACAGAGGATAATTCTCCTTGTTACACCATTCATTAGATTTCCATAGTTCCTTGGTTAAGGATTTGAGATACAGGGACACTACAAATTGGTGAAAAAAAATTCTGGATGGTTCTTCAGTTATAATGGAAAACATGTCTGTGGAAATGGTGAAAGAGGATTGAGAGACAAATAACACAAAGGTTGTCTGATAATTCCTCAAGAAAATATATTATTCTGTATTTTCCTGCAATTCTGCATCACATAAATGTGAGACATAAGGGAAGTAATGACTTCCAGGCTGACAATACCACACAAAAGAACCAGAGAGTAGCATCAACCTTAGCACAAAAGCATAAGAATCAAAGTTTTTGGTATAAAATAAATGTTATGTGTAATGAGGATATTATGACTTTATTCTTTCCTATCTGTATCCCCTTGAACTTCACATAATCTTAGACTGACACTTAAGAATTTAATCAGAACATAAAACAGGTATGGACAGAGTGAGTATTCTTTATTTTCCCAATTTTAGAAGAATTGTTTTGAGTTTTCTCCATTTAGAATGATTATATTGGTAATTACCCTGTAATAAACATATTCTATTATATGGAGATATGTTCCTCCCACTACTGAATTTTTATAATGAAGGGATGATGTACTTTGTCAAAATCATTTTCTGCATTTAGTGAAGAGAATAATTGATCACTTTCATATAGTCAGTTTTCCAAATGTATTCTGTGTATTGGTTTACTCATGTTGATTCCCATTAGCATCTCTTGGATGAAGCCACCTTGATCCTAGTACATAATTATTTAGAGGTATTCTTGAAATGGAAATATTCCATTTTGTCATATAATTAGAAATGTATTGGTGTTAGTGCTTCTCTGATGGTCTGGTGGGATTCTGTTCTGAATCCATTTGGCTTTCTTTAGCTAAATCCATTTGACTTTCTTTAGTTGAGAGATTTTTATTATTCCTTCTATTTAACTTCATAACATGTGATATGATAAATTATTTAGGTCACTTGATTTATCTCTGTTAGGGTACATGCTAAGTAATTCATTCATTTGTTTTTGATATTATACATATTGTGGGTAAACAGATGGAACCAAGAAGAATTATCCTAAGTAACTTAACCCAGAAAGACAAATACTGCATATTTTCTCAAATTTGTGGATGCTAGCTTTCAAGGTTTTGGTCCCTATGTTTTCTACAGAGTTTAGGTTGTTGGTATGGGGCCAATGGGGATATAGGTTTTTTCCACAGAATGGATAATTAAAAACAGTACTGTTTAAAAAACAGAGAAATTAAAACAGTATTACATCATGAAAATTATGATAGAGTAGTGTAGAAAAGCAAACACAAAGTGGAATAACAAAGATTATAGTCCTTTCCATGATAATCTTAGAAATATATTTATATATTTATTGACTGTATATATGTGGGCATATATATGATTAGATGGTAGTTTTAATAAACCTCTTTTCACTGTCTGTGTCTTGGTTATTGAACTTTGATCATCAGATTTGAAGGAAAGCATCTTTATCTTTATGAACCACATTAGAAATCTTTTGAAGAAACATAGGGAATCATACTTCTGTAGAAGCTTGATAAAACATGTACATGACTAAAAACTATTTAAGTGTCATTACTGTACAATGGTGTAGTAAATACCCAAACTTTAGATCAAATCCAACAAATAAAGTCTCCTATATAAATAATGGGTTGCATTGTTTTTTTGTGTGACAACAAAACATAGCATGTATTGCCTTTGTGATTAGTTACCACCCAGAACCCAATGATAAGGCTCACATATTTAAAACATTGCCATAAAGCCCATTCCATTGTTGGAACATGTACCATAAGGTTAATGTAGCCAAAAACTGAGACCAAATTGGTCATGAATCCAACGTAAGAAAACTATGAATATTCTGCTTAGTGAACATGGCATTAAACTAATGCTATATTCTTATACCTATAGATTTGTACATCACTCATCCTTCACTAGAGAAGTGTAATATGCAGATTTTTTAGAAATGAGCCCTGTCTTCGATTCCTTTATCTTAACCCTTGCATCAGGGTTCAGACACTTATGAAGAAATGGATGCAGAGAGAATGTAAAGTCAAGAAATTGTAAATGACTCTAGGGAAGAAAAAGTTTACAAAAATCTTAGGACCAATGGCCATACAATCACCAAGTATATGACAGTAAGGTCAAAACCCATAAAAAGTCAAAACAGACAAAATCTCAACTTATACAATGGAAAGTAGGCCCAAAGACAAAACTTTTGGACAAGAATGTTTGTATTGTCCCTGGCTTCCAGAAGTAAGAAAATCTGGTTTTCAATTGAGTAAAACCAGGGTATATCAATCATACTCAAAGTCTTGTGTTCAGAACCAGTTGGCCAGCACAAATATTCCTTGATTTTTTTTAATGTATTTTCTCTTCTTTGATAGAGAGAATGAGATGGGGTGCAGGAATCATGACATTGGGTTGGTGTGGTAAAGGGATAGTATGCAAAGAGGTAAAAGAAATAAAATTAAATTGATCCAGATATAGTGTGATAATTTTCACAAAAATACAGAAAAAAACTAGGATCACTATCATACAGGAGAAAAATTCAGACATTTATTAAAACACAAAATAAATCCCCACATACATTGTCAAATTGCTATTGACATACTAAATTTCATCTAATCACCATTATCATGAAATGAGAGAAGATAATGTAAAATTCTCTGTGTGCTAGATCCTAGTACACAATTCTAAATGAAATTCTCAGTCATTGCTTGTAGTGAGGACCTAGGCTAATCCCACTACAGTTATGGTTTTTCTTTAGTTTGTACTCTACATATAAACTGTTTCCTTCCACCTTACCTGGTTCTGTGTCTTCTGCTAGCTCTATATTCACAATCCAAGGTTCTTTGTTCTGTTCAAGACAGGTGACTAGCTCCGGTTTTGATACAGAGAGGCCTGTGAATTAGAAGAGACACCATAATTTCTTTGCATGATGTGGAAAAGAGTTGGGTTCTAACACAGGCTTATACTCAGTAGATATGTAGTTACATAAGAAAAGACTCATAATTGAACTCTTATTAGTGCATAGGTGACAGGTGTTGTAGACTTTTAAGAAATCTATAATTTTAATTTTGTATACATTCAACTTTTGTGGTGAGCCACAAGAATATGAAATAGGGAGTCCAGCTCTACATAATAAGCTATACCTTGACTGACCAAGGTTGTCCTTCAAGAGAAAAGCCATTTATTATGGCTTTCTGCCTCTGAGATCCCTGCTCTCTTTTTAGTATTTGAATTGGGTATCTGCCTTCTGCAAATCTCCCCTTTAGCTATGATCACCCCAAACAAAGAACTGAAGGATTAGCAGGGAACAGGAATTAGCTCAGACTATTCCTTGTCTTCAGGCCTAGTAGCATTCCAGAGCAATTGACTGAGAATACAGGAGGTTTTTGTACATCCAGATGAAGTGATAGGTGGTACAGCATTCCTGTCTGACACACATCCATGTTGCTAGAGAGAAGAGAAGAAGACAGAGATTCTGTAGAGGGTAAGGCCGATTTCTTGAAGAATTTTCTGAGAGTCAGTAGTAAGGAGCTAGAAAGGAGAGATGAAGGACAAAGGAACAGAGGATGAAGATGAGGTCAAAAGCATAAGGGCTTAGTAATTCCTGGGGCTTCTCAGGACAGACAAAGTAGATACAAAGAGGAACCAAGACTCAGGATGGAACGGAAGCTATATATATAGAATTTTGTCCTAGAGGAAAAAAGTAAATCGACAAGGAGTAAGGTATATGTATATTTCTTTTTCCTCAGATACCCTACACTAGATGGAGCATCTTGCACACGATTCTGGGAGGAATTTTCTCAGGGCTGGCCTTGGGAACATTCCATTAAACTTTCCATACATTTCCCCATTTTAAAAATAAAACTGCCGGGCGGTGGTGGCGCACGCCTTTAATCCTAGCACTCGGGAGGCAGAGCCAGGCGGATCTCTGTGAGTTCGAGGCCAGCCTGGTCTCCAAAGTGAGTTCCAGGAAAGGCGAAAGCTACACAGAGAAACCCTGTCTCGAAAAACCAAATAAATAAATAAATAAATAAATAAATAAATAAATAAAACTGTTGGAATCAAACTGCATTCACACATTATTGCTACCAAGTGACTGCAAATAAACAACATATGGGATTAAAGGGAGTATTTGGCTTAATTAAAAGACCATTTAGAATAAGAAAAATTTCAGTGTATATTACACTTATCAATATATAGGAATATTTCGAAGCTGGAATTCATTGATAGAAAACAATTCAAAGTGCTAACACAAGCTGTTACATATTCCTAGGGCTAAGCAGCAGTCATGAAAGAATTTATTCTCACCTACAGAAACCAGGTTGCTGTAGTTCTCCAACATGACCTCTCTGTATAAATTTCTCTGAGCTGTGTCCAGACATTCCCATTCTTCCTTGGAGAAACTGATGGCCACATCCTTGAAAGTCAATGGATTCTGAAGTGAAAATTCAATTTTTCTTTGTTATGTTGGTTTGAGTCCTTATTTGCCCCAGGAAACAGTATTTAACTAAAGAACTCTCTGTGCTATCAGTAATCAATCTGCAATTTTCAAATGTTATACATTAAGTGGGAGGATGTTGTGACATTTTCATGAGATCAAAGTGCCCAACATCTAAACATTTCATGAAATAAATGACTTTTCTCAGTGATAAGTAATGTTGGAAGTTGCCCTCTGTATCAATTGAGTTTCAATATTCATCTCTAATATTAGAAAATCTGTCAATATTTCAGGTCATGAACTGATGTAGATAAGTCATACTGGGAAATAAAAAAGGCAGGAAAGAGGGGAAAGCAGGATATAGAACAGAAAACAGTGATAATACAGAATTTATTTCAAAAATATAACAAAATATAAAAATATTATTTTCTTACAATGAGGAACTATCATGAGGGTTGAGAGCTCTGCAAATGAAGCATTTATATGTGAAATGTCAACCTGTCCCATCCTTGTGCAAACATTTACCTGAGACCATGCCATCTGTTTGTCCCATCTTTTGGGTATTGTCAGGAAGTTTATCTTAAAGTTTCACCTGTCTGATACTATTCTGTGAGAAAATGTAGCAGCACCTGCATTCAATGCTACCACACTCAGAGACCAGAAAGCAGGTAAAAATATCCACAATCTGTGACTTAGGATACAGCAGGGATGCAGAAACCATGAACTTTTACAGATAGATCAAAACTTAGCTTCTCCTCTCTTGCATTGGGATGTCCACTATTCCAGCAGATTGTGGAAATCTCAACAACCTGGGTATGTGGCTTCAGTGCTCTGCTCTATACTGTGCACAGACATTTTAAATTTGCTCTGAATACAGCTGTAAGAAGTTGTAGTGACTCCTTCCTCATATTGCATTTCCCTGAGTTCTTTAATTAAAACCTGACTGACACCCGTATTTGAAATAGTGGATGAAGCCTGAGGAAGAGTCCCAGCTGAAAACATTTCTCACACTGGGTAAGTAATACACTTGCCTACAGCCAAGGCCCAGCAGGAAACTGATGCCTCATTAATGTCTCCCCATAGGCATTCTTTTTATTTCCATGTTCCATTCTGAAATTCCACTATTTTACAGTTTTGCAGTGAGACAAATGATTAGATTCTCCCTTAAGTTTATTTTAAACAGTGAATATGCTTCCTTTGGATTCTCATGCAAATGCTGTAACTAAATAATCCCATCCCTGCATGCAGATTAGTACTTTTGGTTATTACTGAAGACACTTCAACTCCAATCACTTTAATTTTCCATGTTGAAACTTTTTGATTGTTTGTGAAATCCACATAAATATAAATACATTTTGCCAACCAGTTCTCCATTAGTTCCTTTGATCAAAAAATGTACTATAACCATAGGATATAATATTGCATCAGCTCCCAGGGGAGTGATTGTTAGCAGATGTCAGCACAATGGAAGGGCATTGCAAGTTCACTGTAAGGTTAGTAACTAGCAAAGATAAACAATGGAATAGCCTCTTTGAATCTAGTCACAAAACAGAATAATAAACAGAAGAAAATTTTCCTAATAGGATAATTTTGTACCACCTTACGACTGGAAAATTTCATTTGGAAGTTTGTATTACATTTGAACACTTCAGCATAGTATATAACACATTATAATTTCATAGAAATACTACTCTAAACATTATCCATTGTCAGGAAGACATACCATCCTTTTTCACAGTGCCTCTTTCTTGGAATAGTCTATATTGAGCAGATACCTGGCAAAAGGATCATGGAACATGGTTTCTTTTTAATTTTTATGGGATGATTCGATTCCATCTTCAGCAGGACATGGCTATGCACGTAATTTTGTATATCAAATGGTTATACTATACATTAATGCAGAGAATTTATTTTGAAAAAATAAAGTGAGAAAGTAGTGGAAAGAAGCATACACTCATGTGACATTCATTCAAAAAACTTTACCTTGACTGAATCAGAAAAAGAAGAATAAAGCCTTGTAAAAACTGAGAGGTAATGTAAAGGTTTGGAATCACTGCAAAAGAAGCATTTGTAGGAGAACAGGCAACAAATCTCACCTCCATACATTCATTTACCTGAGAAAAAGCCATCTCTCTTTTCCCTTCCATCTGAATCCTCTCAGGAAACTTTATCTCAAAATTTTACCTTCCTGATAATATTTTGGTCTCAAAGCAAGAAAAGCCTCAAATTCTTCTACCATACTAGGAGACTGGAAGGGAAGATCAAAAAGCTCGCTCTCTGTACTTTATTGGAGCAGAGATGTAGAAAAACATGAGCTCCCAGAGGCAGACAAGCTGTAGGTTCTACTTTCATGCATTCAGGTAGTCTGTTTGGCCAGCATGAATGACTTTAGTACAGACCTGGCAACATGGTTAAATTGACTTGCTAGAGATAGCAGAATCAGGTGGGCATTTCAAATTGATGCTGAGTACAGCTGACAATGAGAAGCATTAAGGAGTTTCACATTCTGTTACTCTGAGGTGGTTGATTAAAGCAAAATGAGGCTTCCATGGAGGATAACAGACTGTATCTGTGGGGTATCTCAGATGAAAGTAATCCTTGAATTGAGTAAAAAAAAATCCAGTTGCTTTTGTCCAAAAAGCATGAGTGAAGTGTATTCCCCTCTAAAGTCTCCATTGACTTTTCCCATTAGATACCATAACACAATTTATAGTACTATGATTCTGCAATTATATGACTTTGCAGTGAGATGCATGGTTAAAACTTTTCATAAATTTATTTTCACAGTGACATTACCTCACCCATGGTCACTGTTAAGTAATTATGTGAAAAAAAATGAGGAGAAACAGGTAGTATTCTTTACTATATGTGAGATCCCATGAACTCTCTGATACATTAAGGTGTTAGTAAAGAAGACTGAATTCCATTCTCTAACACCATTGTTTTTGTTGGCAATTTAACTCATATTGATGGCGATAAAATGACCTCATATTTAAGGCTGCTTTGCAAAACTGGACTTCATTAATTTAAATATAAGAGGAATTAACTGAACAATCCCTGAAATGGCATTCACTGCATAGAAATCTGAACACATACTCAGTTTATCTTTGTTTTCTACATGAATTGTATAGTAATTACTCAAACACCTAGTTATTTCCAAAAATAATTGGAAGTAACTAGGCAAAATTTTATTTTTTTCTCTTACTAATGTTAGGTATCTACTAGAATCAGCACAGTATGACACACATGTCTCTGTGAATAAATGAAGAATGCACAGGAAATCCATGGTGTTATTTAAATTTCAATAACCAGTTTTTATTTACTATAACCTATGTGTATTTGTTCAATAGGATTCTAATGAACACCACTTCCTCTTGCTAGATAGAAAGTCAATTTTAAAAGGCCCCAAACAGGATTAAAAAGAACCTACTCCTAAACTGCTGAAGATGCAATGACCTTGTTTGGATATAGAATTCTGCAGCAAAACTTCCTCCTTCATAAATGAATAAACCTCTCACCACAATCCAGATATGTATGTCAAGACTCTACACAAAGAAAACAGACAGGAACCCAGAGTAGGGGGAAGGAAATAAAACTGGGGATAGATTTAAATGTAATAAATTTAGAGAAATAAAGAGAAGCATAATGATGACAAATAACATCAGCCATGTACTTCTCTTTACTCACAGTGGGCATAAGAAATTACAACTATGTAATTTGCCTGTATTTTCCCAGATATTTATTTGGTAACTGCATGTGAACTAATAGCTTCCTGCAGGAGTATCTGGTATCTGAATTGCATGGTTATTTTATGCATAGTATCATTTAGTCTCTGACTCTACTGTATCAATTCCACAACTGCAGAAGGAACATGAGACTCACTGAGATTAGGTGCAGAATCTGCCTGGCAGTGAAAAGATACCTTCTTTAACCATGCTTTTACCATGAGGTTCTATACCAAAGATTTTTTAATTTAAGATAAAGGAGAATATATGTCTGGCACAGTTTGAGTGGCTGTGTTGTCCTGAAACAGACACATTTCCATTTATGGACGTAAGTCAGGGAAACACTCTGAGAGCATGACAAACATATGCTCCATGAGGCTTGAGTTAAATGCTGCCTCTTTTCTCCTAATAAGCTGGGATCTACACCATGGTCAAACTGTAATTAGAAGTCATTTCGAAGACAGAAATATGCTATTCCTCATAAATCCTTCCTTCATTTTTCTTTAAGTTTCTCTTTATTGATGGTTTCAAATATTACAATTCTGAGGAAAGGAAAAAAGTCATTTGAACTAATTTGTGGTACATTGGAAATGGGAAGTACTATGGACTCTACCTGAAATTTTAATAAAAAGGAACAATATGCCTCCATACCTACACAAACAAATTTGCACATGATTAAAATCAGACACATGATCAAGCAGGTATGCAGTGAGGAGAATCTTACATTATTCAATCTTGTACTTCAGCAAAGAGACCTACCAATTACTTGCACCTTAGTATTCAACTATTCCAATTATTTGACACAATTAAGAGAAGACACTGTATGATTGATAAAACTTGTTCCATAATAGAACTTCTCCTTTACATGTGACAAAGTCATTTGTTATACAGAATCAATGTTTTCTGAGGACAGAGCTAATTCCCTTCACACTGTGGTAAGGAGCTATACACAGAAGCACACACACATATAGCACAAACATGTGCATACACAACATTAATAAAACAGAAGCCACATACACTAGTAGAATAACCTGAGAGAAGTGATGGTCCAGATCCCTTTTCTGTTTTTCCATGACAATTGAGTGTGATTGTGAAAAGGAGGGGCCTGACAATGAGATCATAACTTCATGGCCTAATCAAAGACTTTATCCATGCAGATGACACCGATCTCAGTGCTTCCATCAGGGGAGTTATCTTTTGTCCATGTGCTCCATAAATTATTAAATTCTGTACCAAGACATAACAACAGAAATTGAGTCAAGTAGCCTAGGAATAAAATACCACAGGCAAGGACTCAAATAAACTTTTCTTCATTTGAAATAATTTTCCTCATTGTTTATGAATTTATGTGATTTCATATGATAGTATAAGTATATGCACACTTATCTATGTGTGAACATGAACACACCACTTGCACTTAATTTTCTGAGGTTTTCTGTTGGAATCATCTTCCTGTGTAACACAAGTCAGTGATTCTTTTACCTGTTAACATTTTCATTTGTGGAAGTCTTATTTATAGTACAAGAATTCACTTACATATTGACAACAATCAAACCTATGCCTCAAAGTAAGGGGGAAAAGGCAAAGAAAAGAGCACACAAGATGTACGTCTTATTTAAGAAATAGAACTTTCCTTACAGAATAAATGAAGTCTCAGTTATGAATATACCTCCAAATTTTGGTGTTTTTGTGGTTTGATTTTTAGTAATGAATACAAAATTTCTTCTTTTGAGAATCCTTGAAGCTCCAATATGACATTGACTCATTGCTAAAATCAGCATGGTGTACTCTACAATATGAAATAGGGAATAAGAGTAAGGAAATATTCAGTGAAGTTTTATGATATTAAGGAAATATCAAGTTTAAGTATTCATTCAAATTATAGTCTACATCCTTCTGTTAAATGATTAAAGAGAGACAATAATCTTCAACAAAATCATTGTGCATGAGGATGTGTGATATAGTTCATACTTAAGTTCTGTATGAAAAGATCCTGTGTCTCACAGTTATATTGGATCACACTGGACATTTGCTTTACTTTCACTATGAAATGAAAAACTTGTCAAAGTTTAAATGTGTGGATGATTTTTCTATGACATATAGATATTTTTTCTTTATATTATGAAACTCAAAACAATTTAATTTATGAAATAAAATTCAGCTGCCACGGGGATTTAGCATTTACATTTACTTGAATAGAACACTCATTTTAGCTGTTGCAAAAGCATTTATGTAGATTATTTGAGGAGTCATTTTACCAATTTTGGAGATGTGTTCAAAGATACTAGGTTATCTGGTGTCTAGCTTGAAATTCACTTGAAGTACTTGAAGAATAAGTTCCATCTTTTTTTATTGTTGCTTTTATGTATATCTCTCTACATAATCAGTATATGGAAAACATACAGCAACATTTTTCAAGCTGTGGGTCATAAAACCTTGGGAGTTACAATGACCTTTTACCAGGGGTCACCACAGACCAACAAAAATGTCAGATATTTACATTACAATTCATAACAGAAACCAAATTATACTTATGAAATAGCAATGAAAATACTTTCATAGTTTAGGGTCACCCAAAAATGAAGAACTGTATTCAAATGTCACAGCATTAGGAACGTTGATAATTGGTATCCTCCACTGAGACTCATCAGTAGTCAATATACAAACAACATCTTATCTTTATTTTTGTCTGTGTGTTTGTATTCTTTATTCTTCTGGAAATTAAATAATTTATTATTTTATATCCTGAACACAGTTGCCCCTCCCTCCTTCCCTCCAATTCTCTCCTCAATTTGCCTCTACATCCCAGTCCTATCCTCATGTGTCTCTGTGAAAAAAGGGGCCAGCCTCCAATGTATATACAAACCATGACATATCAAGTTGCTGTAAGACTAACAACTTCTCCATGTAATTACACTAGGCAAGGCAATCCAATAAGAGGAAAAGACTCCAAAGAGCCAACCAACACATTAAGGACAGCCACTGCTCCCATTGTTAGCTGTTGCAAGAATAGACAAACTACAAAATATTACATACGTGTAGAGGGCCAAGTATGGGCCCATGAAGACTCACTGGTTGTAGGTTAAGACTCTGTGAGTTCATATGAGCAGGAATAAAGGGAGGAGAGATTGTAGAAAACAGGGAGATCAAGCAACATCTTATCTCACTGTGAAAATAGAAACATAATTTACTTAAAATAATCTTGTTATCTCCTTCCTTCAGAATTTATAATATTGTTCTTTGCATATATTTATTTCCACTGTTATACTTTTCTATAGAACTTGGTTTTAATTTTAATGATATGTGTTTATTAGCACTGTCATTTCTGGAACAGTTAATCTTCATAATGCCACCCTCATATTACATGAAGATTCAGCTTGTCAAGGCAAATAAAAATAAACAAAAAAATATAAATATATTTATTAGTACTCTTAAAAACAGGGAATCAATATGAGGTTAAAATATACACTCTTCAAAAGCTAAAATACTGGAAATACAACAGTGATTTAGAATATAATAATACCACACAAAAGACAATATTATCTTCAACAAATTGCATAAAATAATTATGTGGATATTTGGACTTTATATTGCAGTCAATAATTATCTATTAGCTAGAATTCTTTTGTTTCACATTGCCATTGCTTTAGTATTTTCAAACAAGAACTCCTTGTAATTAGTGAGTCAATGTTTTAATAAAATGATATGCATAGCAATATTTTCAATAAGCTTTAGTAATTATAAGGTCTACTTCTGAATAAACACTTCAAAATTCACATCAAGTGTAGGGCTTCCTAAAGTGATGTTTGTGATGTTCAGTAGGGAGTGAATATTGACCAAATATTTAACATATTCTACATATTTAGAAGGAAATTTCATTGCACACATTTATGATGCTGAAATAAAGTTGATAATTATTAGACAATTTCTTCAAGATTCTTTCTTATGACTTTTCTGATGTCTTCTAAGTTGAGAGCTCATGAGAAGCATTTTCCACATTCCTCATACTTGTAAATTGTCTCTCTAGTGTGGGGTCAGGGAACATAAAGAATTACTGATGATTTGATAAAGGAAATTCCA